ATTTAAGGCACAAAAAGTAGCTTTCACTATCCATATCGTTTGGTTTATACAAAATTTATTTTAGTTTGATTGTGTAGCAGGCCTGAAGCTTATAGACACACTTTTTAATCCGTACCTGGAACCAACCAGTACTAAGCAATGCGTGTAAAGTTTCTTGCTCAAGGAAAAATGACTTGCCTCTGATGGGTTTGAACCAATGTGGCTAGTGATCATTAGATTACTGGTCCGACGTGTTAACCCCTCGGCCATGCCCTGGACAATTGGACATGTCACCTTTCTTGCCTTTAATATCTTAATTTTAAAGCACATCATGGTGATAAGAACCTCCATGCAATAAATTTTATTCATTGCCTTTTTATTTCTATTTTAAGAACAACTACATATTTATCATATGTTGTACATGTGTTGTGTTGTTTTTTTTCCAGATGATGAGAACCTCCCTATCGTACCACCTATATTAGTCACTGTACCGTTTGATTATCCTGAAAACAGTCCCGAATGTTCTACCAGTAGAAAAGATTACGGTAAGTTTCATTATGTTAAAGCTTTTACAAGGACGGAAGACCCTATTTTGTCTATGTCTGCCCACTTACCCACTTAGTTCAAAAGGGAGAGCTTCGGATAAGAAATGCAAGACTGATTGGTTCTATTCTCAGGCCTGATGAAATTTCTCGGTGACAATAGACCAACTCCGGAATTAAGAATATTTGGGTTTTTCCCAGGTAATCCATAGATACAAACAATTCTTTACAGTTAAGCTTCAAAAATAAGCGCAACAGTTTGACCAAACTATTGTGAGTGGTAGTACATGGTGAAGCCATAACAGTAAAAGTTTGTACCTACGGATTAGCTTGGAAAAACCCACATTTGCTGAGTTCCGGATAACATCTATTGATCTCAGACATTAAGTCTTATAGTCGTTTGTCTCTCACTGCTGTTTCAGATATCATTAGTAGTCAGACACTTGCAGGGAAATCGGTAATTATTAGTTAGTTATCCAGGAAAGCCAGTTTGTTGAGCTGGCCACCAAGTTATCACCAGTAATATGTTAGTCAGGGTAAAAAAAAACAGATAAACATATTTTTATTTGCATCAGGTCCTCTGTTCAAATTAGTTTGAATACAAGTGAAGCTGAAATTTCTTGTTTTTGTTAGAATGAATAGTAAAAATTAAGCAGTCAACTGCAAATGTAGTAAAAAATAAGAAGTGAACTGTAAATTCTTAAAATTTCCTTTTTATATACCAACATTAAGGCTGTTGTTTTTGTTAGGTAATTTAGTGGATCAGTGGTTAGTCTTGCTCTTTTTTTTCTAATCCATAAAAGGCAAATTTCTTTTATGTGAGCAAATTATTTATGTTCCCTGATGTATGACAGGACTGTTACTGTATAAATAATATTTCCAGAACAGGCATGTCTTTGATGAAATGTAAAGGGACACAACTTCAGTTATATTCTTTTCACATAAGCATATCAGAGTTATTCCTCTTAGACATTATTGTTTTGTCCGCAGTAATCTTACTTATGAATGAAGCGATATACATGTTTTGACTTTCAAGCCTTCCCAAGGTCATTCTAGCCAGAAATAAATATCATTTTTGTTGTTTTGTTTGGAAATTAATAACCAGCAGATTTTGTTGAGAAGCCCTTCCATCATTGTTCCCATATTTTGTTTTTTTTGATCAGTGTGCATTTGTTTTTTGCATCAAGAAATGTATTGCAGGAACACAGATAACTGCAATGTACATGTATATACTTTGTGTATAAGTAAAAGGTATTTTTTTATGTGATGTTTATATCAAGACTGTCACTCACTGGCATAGATTTTGTTTTCACATGTCTAAATTATTGGGTGGGGTAATGTCAGGTGGAATGACTCGTGATTAACGAGTATGATGCTGAGAGAAAAAATCATGACACATCGTTTTTCTAATAACTATTACAGAACACAGAGTCAGGCAAATTAATTATGATTATTTAACCCTTTGAACTGTAAGAAAATTTACATGCCTGATAATGTATGAAATATATACAGCTATGTGTACATGTAAATTACATGGCAGATTGGTAACCTTTTTTATTGAATATAGGTAAACAATATTTCAGTTTAAAGATCAAGAGCTATTCATTTGATAGATTGAATGTAATGTTCAGCGTAATGATAACTTACCTATATATAGGCTGGTGGGGAAGGGACAAATGTAATTATTGAAATTCATATACATATATTAATAAGCCAAGTTTAATTTGAATGCAGTTTTTAATTAATTTTTCATTTTGTGATTTTTTTGTTTTTGTATGATATGAATTAGAAAAAACAATTAAAGACTTAAAGTTCATATTCAGTTTTATTTTAATTTTTTATATATATTTTTTTTTAATGCAGATTTTCATGATATTTTTGTCAAATCTCGGCAGCTAATCCAACCTTTTTAGTTTTCCTGGATAACTGACCTGTTGAAACCAATTACATCCGAAGTGACCGACTTCTAATACAACATGATTTCTGAATTAGTGTTAAGAGACAAATGAACATAAGACTCAATGTCTGAAATCAGTTGTCATGGAGATATTGCGTCTCAACTGAGAATTGAACCAGCGTCCCTGGAATACTATTTTCTACTTAAGAAAAAGTTGGACAGATTTTATAATTACTTACACATTGTCAGAGATTCTTTCAAGACTATACTTAGAGTACATCATAATTATTATTCCTGTACTTTTTACCTTAACTACTGTGATAATATCTCGCACCTGTGCTACGATTATTATTTTTGTTTGACGAAAGAAAATAGATCTGTCATGAAACAAAGGTTAGGTCGTAAATGATCTACTTAGATAAATGATTCTGACACTGTGTTTTGATGTAGAAAATGCCATGATTTATTATCACTTCACATGTCTTGAATGAATGTCTTGTTTTGAAACCTTGGATATGTTATATACAAAAAAAACACAGGCACACAAAAAAGACAATAACAAAAAAATTATAGAAAGCACTTTATATAAGATTTTTTTTTTCTAGAAATGAAGGTCAAAGTTAATCTTTTTGTTTATTTCATTCAATTTCTGTATTAACATTTTTGCGTATTTTTCTCCCAAATCAAGTCAAATTAAATCAATGACTTGGGAATTTTTTTTCTTTAAAAAAAAAAGTATTTTCTATAAAAAAAGAATGTTTTTCAGCCATGATAGTAGCATCATATGGCTCACAGACTTCTGTTCTTGAGCCCACAAGCATGATTTTTTTTAATGCTAAGTATTGTCATTGTGATGGTACATAAATGTATATTAAATAAGTTTACAGAAGGTTGTTTATACTTCACAAGTTATACTTTATTAAGTGAATGCATTTTACATATACTTGGTGTGATTACAGATTTTTCTATCTCCAATATAAGTGGCAATTCTAGCTCTCTGGTATAGGGTATTAGGAGGCAATATCTTTGTACAGTCTGATCAAGTTGATTATTATACTTTCAATTACATTGATTATAATGAATTCCCTTGGTCTTTACCCTGCAAAATTTCTTAAATTGACTTGTCCAGGTCCATTTGGGAACTGTCCATTTTCAATGAAAATTTAAGTTAGCTTGTGAAAAGAGCAGTGGCATAGTGGTTAAGGTGTCTGCCTCTCAACCCAGAGATCATGGGTTCAAGCCCTACTTGGGTCTTGACCATGTTTCTTCATATGACACAAGCACTTGTTGGTTCCAGGAAGTGGACTCGAAAGTGATTTATATAAGTTGCAAGAACTTGTTTTGCAATCGAGCTTAAATAAATAAATACATGTATGTTTAAACCAACAGAGCCTGGGAGACTGTGCAGGAGTGCAGGCTGGCCTGGCTCTACCCTGGTGACAAAGGATAAGCCCTTTATGTCCCGGCAGTTTAAAATTGATATTTTACATAAAATCAAATGGTAAAAGGTTTATAAAAAGTCTAAATATACAAATTATGTTTTTTCTATGTCTGTATTTTGTTATTAATTGTTCTATTTTAGAGTCAACACCATTCCTTCGTGCCATACAGAAGTCGATGGTTACACATCTTCTAGATCTGCCGAGTAAATTTACATTTACTTCACTACTTGATATGTGGGTAGGTACCATTTATTAGTACAAAGTCATGTCACTGTACTTGATGTGTTTTTTTCACCTTGTCGTCTTTGTGTACAGTATTCTTCACATTTTTGGGTGTTTAAGTTGAAATAAGAGGGCTGTTACTTTTTTATTTACTTCCATATCTAGATAAAATATTCAACACTGTTACTTTGGAGAATTATGCTTATGATCCGGTTGGAAAAAAAAAAACATTTGCATTAATGCACATTCAACAGTATCTATAATAATGTAGGGTTACATTGAGCGGGGCAACTTACTTGTATGTGTGGGCATTATAAATTAACTTGAGCTAGCCCTGAAAGCTTATATAAGATGTGTTGAAATGAGTTTATCAGCCTGTCAAATAGATTTGTCAGTCCTTCATTAAAAAAAAAATTACTTGCCATGACATAACATTATTCGTATTTTTTATATAAAAGATAAGAAATTTATTTATTATATTGACTTTTGTAAAATCAATGATATGGTACATGTGAATTAAGATTAACAGCATTTACACTCTGCCCAAATAAGTCAGCTTATATTGACAAATATCGAAGTATTATATATTTTATAGCGATCATAAATAAGTGTGTGACAAATAGCTTATATTATTACTGCACAAATGAATTGAGTTATTGTAAATGTAAAGTCTATAATAATCATGTGCCACACCCGTAATTATCATGTATACATGTAGATTGTAGTTTTTACTCAGCAGGTGTTCAGTATATGCAAATTAAGATTTTTTTGTCGGAACTTTGTATAAATCTTGTGTATATAAAACATGTATATATATTTCCATTTCAGGAAATGAGTGTGAGGAAGGCATGTGCACCAACCTGAAATTAAATGACTTATTTATCTCCCTTTATAACATAGATCTGGAACAAAAAACAATTACAAACAAATGATGTGCAACACAACATTTTTTCTTGAGCCAATGTTTTAGCATTAAATCACTTGAAAACTCTGTGTTCTGGTGCTTAGCTTTAAAGTTTCACATTTAACACATAGGCATATAGTGGATCAAAAAATGTTTTTGTCATCAAGTGCATGATTTTACATATAAAAACCAAACCAACAAAAAACCAGCATATTAAGAAAAACTACATAATTGGTTATCTATGAAAAAAGAAAAATAACTTTTTAGTGAAACATGGATGTCAATCTATATCTTATCTATATCATATTTTGCCATTCAGTGTGGAAATATATCTGGCAAATAAGTATTTATAGAATATTTATTAATGTCATATTTCATAGTGAAATATATATCATATCAACTCATTTTAAACAAATAGCGTTATTTATTTGTACAATATTTTGTCAACTGGTTTGAAGTTGTGGTGCATGGTATCAAAATGTGTGAGGAGTTATTGATGCATATTGTACATAATTATGTATTATGAATGAAATTAAATGTCGATATATAACGTCTTGCTTGTTTTGATATCCATTTTAACCCATATTTTTTTTGCTGATGTTTAATTTTGAGAAAGAAAAAAAAGCATCATGCCTCCAAATTCTTTCTAATTTTCTTGATCGTTTTTAAAATATTTAAAAGTAAAATATTGTGAAGTGAACTTAAGAAAGTATTTAACACATTGCAAATAGCTCTTTAAATAAAAAAGTTGACAATAATGGCCCTCATTGTGTTAGTCACACAGTAGAAATATGGTGATATTAATGGCATATAAAATGTAAATTTTTACTTGAATTTTACACTTTTCTTAAAATCTTAGTATATTTTTCTGAAGTATGATTTTCTAGAAAAAAATTGGCGCATCTGGAGGCATGTAGCTTTAAAAATTGAGAGAAAAAATATGTGCAAATTCTGAATTTCATGATAAAATTGGTTTGCCTATTGCCCCCAAATGACGTTTTTAAATGAGTAATTTGGTTTGCTGTCTCTGAACAGAAATTGTTGGTGTGAGCCCTAATGGGCTCGTGAACATGCCTTCATATACCACACCAATGCTGGCTAAACCAAAAGTGAGTTAGTAGTACGGTCCAGTGGTAGGACATGTTCTTTGGGAAAGAGAAGTCCAAGGTTCAAGTTCTTTTGAGGGCTCTGCTAATGTCCTTGAGAAAGAAATATTCTCTCTCAAATAGAATATTTGATAGCTGATAAAGGCTTTGGTGATTGAGATGCTCCATTGGTCTCCATTGTGATATTTTGAAATGGAAATATTTTTGATACTTGTACACCATTTGATGCAGGTGTGAACTAATAACTTGTGAATAAAATTCAGATTATTCCCCCATTGTGCAAAATGGCCAGAAAAATGCAACACTTTTCACTCATTTTCGGCTAAAAATCGTTCAAAAATCTATTTAAATATAATTGACTATATTTCTTTATTATCTTTTACAGATTTCTCCATTTTAAGTTGATCACTTGATCTATTCAAACATTTGGGCTTTTTGACCTAAATGGAGTTCCTTTAAGAATTTTTTTTGGCGTTCTGCTGCCTTTTTAATAAATGAGTTAATCTTGTGTAGATTTATCGTTAGTAATCTTCCAGAAAAGAATGTTTATGACAATAAACACTACAACAAACACAATTTATACTAACATTTTTGTTATGATTTGTTACCATAGCGACAGTACAAAATAACGAGAGAAAAATAGTTCCGTGACGGCGGAAATGATAATGAAAAATGTATTAACAATACTTAGGTAATAACAGTTAATGTACGGAAAATTATCGTAAGATGTTTCTTTATTTATCTATTTTTTTACAACGGTAAAAGTAAGGCCTTGAAGTGTTGTAATTTAAGTAATAAATATAGGAAATACGAGTAATTGCATCTGATGAAGATTAAGTGTTAAAAACAGAGAAATTAGTAAACACATTTAATGATAAATAAATTTAATTAAAAAAAATGCATGTTCTTGTTGAAACTACGGAAAATATTTGCTTTAGCTTAAGGCAGTGTAGGGATTAGACAAATTGTATTTGCATGGAATTTTCGTGCACTTGTTTTTCAACAGAATTCACTTTAATTCTTTACAAAAATACATACATGTCCTACATTGTTAACAAACGTTTATATAAACACACATTATTTCTTAGATACCCTATGTAATTAGGATTACAAATAACACATGTAATGTAAGGACAGTGGTTTTAAAACACTGTAAATGGGCTGAAACTGACTGTAAGGCTTCAACATGTGATTTTAACCAAATTATTCTAAATCACTTTTATGAATATAATTAATACCCTATGTCAGCACCTTTCCGCAACACAGTCGGGCATAATTTGTCGTTTTAGTTTTATGAGCGATGTTGAAGTTTTGGGACAGACGGAATGCCTGACAGACACAGATTTACTGACATATAATATACCTAAATCATTCAATACGAGTATTTGGTGGATTCGTACTCTCAATTTATTAAAAATTTTACTACTCTCAAATAACAGTAAATACAACAGGTAAGCCACACATTTTGTTACAAAACATGAAAAAATATGCATAATTTGGGCAATCCTAGGACAATATCTAGCTACAACTAATATTAGCGGATGAACACGAGAAAATCGTGCCAACTTGGCATTTTAAGGGTACGCGAAAATCACCAGGAGGTTAGCAGGTAAGAAAGATCTATACACCCAGATTTTAATAGTATTCATTATTGCTCCTGGTACCCAAGCACAGGCTAGTGCTAGTTGTATAATTACACAAGCACTAAGCAATTACCAAGAAATAGGTAGCATCATCAGTCCTTCCTGTATTTGTGTTGATTATTGCACCTGGGCCCAAGCACAGGCTAGTGCTAGTAGTATATTTACACAAGCACTAAGCATGTACCAAGAAATAGGTAGCATCATCTCTCCTTCCTGTATTTGTGTTGATTATTGCTCCTGGTCCCAAGCACAGGCTAGTGCTAGTAGTATATTTACACAAGCACTAAGCATGTACCAAGAAATAGGTAGCATCATCTCTCCTCCCTGTCTTTATGTTGATTATTGCTCCTGGTCCCAAGCACAGGCTAGTGCTAGTAGTATATTTACACAAGCACTAAGCATGTACCAAGAAATAGGTAGCATCATCTCTCCTCCCTGTCTTTATGTTGATTATTGCTCCTGGTCCCAAGCACAGGCTAGTGCTAGTAGTATATTTACACAAGCACTAAGCATGTACCAAGAAATAGGTAGCATCATCTCTCCTTCCTGTATTTGTGTTGATTATTGCTCCTGGTCCCAAGCACAGGCTAGTGCTAGTAGTATATTTACACAAGCACTAAGCATGTACCAAGAAGTAGGTAGCATTATCTCTCCTTCCTGTATTTGTGTTGATTGATGCTCCTTGTCCCAAGCACAGGCTAGTGCTAGTAGTATAATTACACAAGCACTTAGCATGTACCAAGAAATAGGTAGCATCATCTCTTCTCTTCCGGTATTTGTGTTGATTATTGCTATTGGTCCCAAGCACAGGCTAGTGCTAGTAGTATATTTACACAAGCACTAAGCATGTACCAAGAAATAGGTAGCATCATCTTTCCTCCCTGTCTTTATGTTGATTATTGCTCCTGGTCCCAAGCACAGGCTAGTGCTAGTAGTATATTTACACAAGCACTAAGCATGTACCAAGAAATAGGTAGCATCATCTCTCCTTCTTGCTTGTCTTAATGATGATTATTGCTCCTGGTCCCAAGCACAGGCTAGTGCTAGTAGTATATTTACACAAGCACTAAGCATGTACCAAGAAATAGGTAGCATCATCATTCCTTCCTGTATTTGTGTTGATTATTGCTCCTGGTCCCAAGCACAGGCTAGTGCTAGTAGTATATTTACACAAGCACTAAGCATGTACCAAGAAATAGGTAGCATCATCATCTCCTTCCTGTATTTGTGTTGATTATTGCTCCTGGTCCCAAGCACAGGCTAGTGCTAGTAGTATATTTACACAAGCACTAAGCATGTACCAAGAAATAGGTAGCATCATCTCTCCTTCTTGCTTGTCTTAATGATGATTATTGCTCCTGGTCCCAAGCACAGGCTAGTGCTAGTAGTATATTTACACAAGCACTAAGCATGTACCAAGAAATAGGTAGCATCATCTTTCCTCCCTGTCTTTATGTTGATTATTGCTCCTGGTCCCAAGCACAGGCTAGTGCTAGTAGTATATTTACACAAGCACTAAGCATGTACCAAGAAATAGGTAGCATCATCATCCCTTGCTGTATTTGTGTTGTATATTGCTCACGGTCCCAAGCACATGCTAGTGCTAGTAGTATATTTACACAAGCACTAAACATGTACCAAGGTAGCATCATCATTCCTTCCTGTATTTGTGTTGATTATTGCTCCTGGTCCCAAGCACAGGCTAGTGCTAGTAGTATATTTACACAAGCACCAAGCATGTACCAAGAAATAGGTAGCATAATCCTTCATGTATTTGTGTTGTTTATTGCTCCTTGTCCCAAGCACATACTAGTGCTAGTAGTTTATTTACACAAGCACTATGCATGTACCAAGAAATAGGTAGCATCATCTGTCCTTCCTGTATTTGTGTTGATTATTGCTCCTGGTCCCAAGCGCAGGCAAGTGCTAGTAGAATATTTACACAAGCACTAATCATGTACCAAGAAATAGATAGCATCATCAGTCCTTCCTGTATTTGTGTTGATTATTCTCCTGGTCCCAAGCACAGGCTAGTGCTAGTAGTATATTTACACAAGCACCAAGCATGTACCAAGAAATAGGTAGCATCATCTCTACTTCCTTAATGTGTTGATTATTGACCCTGGTCCCAAGCACAGACTAGTGCTAGTAGTATATTTACACAAGCACTAAGCATGTACCAAGAAATAGGTAGCATCATTAGTCCTTCCTGTATTTGTGTTGATTATTGCTCCTGGTCCCAAGCACAGGCTAGTGCTAGTAGTATATTTACACAAGCACTAAGCATGTACCAAGAAATAGGTGCCATCATCATCCCTTGCTGTATTTGTGTTGTATATTGCTCACGGTCCCAAGCACATGCTAGTGCTAGTAGTATATTTACACAAGCACTAAACATGTACCAAGGTAGCATCATCATTCCTTCCTGTATTTGTGTTGATTATTGCTCCTTGTCCCAAGCACAGGCTAGTGCTAGAAGTATATTTACACAAGCCCTAAGCATGTACCAAGAAATAGGTAGCATAATCCTTCATGTATTTGTGTTGTTTATTGCTCCTTGTCCCAAGCACATACTAGTGCTAGTAGTTTATTTACACAAGCACTATGCATGTACCAAGAAATAGGTAGCATCATCATTCCTTCCTGTATTTGTGTTGTTTATTGCTCCTGGTCCCAAGCACAGGCTAGTGCTAGTAGTATATTTACACAAGCACTAAGCATGTACCAAGAAATAGGTAGCATCATCATTCCTTCCTGTATTTGTGTTGATTATTGCTCCTGGTCCCAAGCACAGGCTAGTGCTAGTAGTATATTTACACAAGCACTAAGCATGTACCACGAAATAGGTAGCATCATCTCATCTCTTCTTCCTGTATTTGTGTTGAATATTACTCCTTGTCCCAAGCACAGGCTAGTGCTAGTAGTATATTTACACAAGCACTAAACATGTACCAAGAAATAGGTAGCATCATCTGTCCTTCCTGTATTTGTGATGATCAATGCTTATGATCCGAATCACTAGAAATTAAGAAATAAGAAGAATGAATAAGTAGAAGCAATGTTCTTAGCACATATTTGTGCCCTTTGCCTTTATACTAATAATTTCAGTTACAAACAAATTAGTACCTTTTATTATTCATTTCAAATTTTTATACATAATATTCTCAATAATAAATGTTCGTACTAAACTCGTTCAAATACTTATTTTTAAAGGCGTTTGGTTAACAGTCTAAGATATCTAAGAAAAACATTGTTATTGTTATTACCTTTCCATATAAACAGTGGTAGCAAATACGTGTTTTGGGGGATATATAAAGGCATCAATGTGAATGACATTTGTCTCAATTATGTATGACAGATTTTTTTACCAAGCTCACACACAAGCTTTTACCTTCGAATTATTTGTGTAAGCTTTGAACTGTCATTGGCAGCTTCGTCAATTAGTGTATATGATTGATAATTGAGTGATAAAAGACAGTACTGTCCTTATAACCAGCAAGATAAAAGTGGCGGTTAATTGGTAAGGTGATAATTAGTTTGTTTGCACGGCGTTTGAGTGATTCCTTGCTCATAATGTTTGTAGTTTGTTTTTGCAAACATTTTGTCGTCTGGTAAAATCATTTAATATTATTCTTTTATTGCTGCCGAATATTTCAAAATAGTTTTAGATTGTTTTAGTCGTTACATTGATAAAAAAAACTTATTATTAATTTAAATTAAAATTATAATAATTTAAAATATTATGAATGAAATTAAATGTCAATAAACAACGTCTTGCTTGTTTTGATATCCATTTTACCCATATATTTTTTTTTGCTGATGTTTAATTTTGAGGAAAAAAACCCATCATGCCTCCAGATTCTTTCTAATTTCTAATTGTTTTTAAAATAATTAAAAGTAAAATATTGTGAAGTGAACTTAAGAAAGTATTTAACACATTACAAATGGCACTTTAAATAAAAAAGTTGACAATAATGGCCCTCATTGTGTTAGTCACACAGTAGAAATATGGTGATATTAATGGCATATAAAATGTAAATTTTTTACTTGAATTTTTCACTTTTCTTAAAATCTTAGTATATTTTTCTGAAGTATGATTTTCTAGAAGAATTTGGCGCATCTGGAGGCATGTAGCTTTAAAAATTGAGAGAAAAAATATGTGCAAATTCTGAATTTCATGATAAAATTGGTTTGCCTATTGTCCCCAAATGACGTTTTTAAATGAGTAATTTGGTTTGCTGCCTCTGAACAGAAATTGTTGGTGTGAGCCCTAATGGGCTCGTGAACACCACACCAATGCTGGCTAAACCAAAAGTGATTTAGTAGTACGATCCAGTGGTAGGACATGTTCTTTGGGAAAGAGAAGTCCAAGGTTCAAGTTCTTTTGAGGGCTCTGCTAATGTCCTTGAGAAAGAAATATTCTCTCTCAAATAGAATATTTGATAGCTGATAAAGGCTTTGGTGATTGAGATTCTCCATTGGTCTCCATTGTGATATTTTGAAATGGAAATATTTTTGATACTTGTACACCATTTGATGCACGTGTGAACTGATAACTTGTGAATAAAATTCAAATTATTCCCCCATTGTGCAAAATGGCCAGAAAAATGCAACACTTTTCATTCATTTTCGGCTAAAAATCGTTCAAAAATCTATTTAAATATAATTGAGTATATTTCTTTATTATCTTTTACAGATTTCTCCATTTTAAGTTGATCACTTGATCTATTCAAACATTTAGGCTTTTTGACCTAAATGGAGTTCCTTTAAGAATTTATTTTGGCGTTCTGCTGCCTTTTTAATAAATAAGTAAATCTTGTGTAGATTTATCTTTAGTAATCTTCCAGAAAAGAATGTTTATGACAATAAACACTATAACAAGCACAATTTATACTAACATTTTTGTTATGATTTGTTACCATAGCGACAGTACAAAATAACGAGAGGAAAATAGTTCCGTGACGGC